ATAATAATAATAATAATAATAATAATAATAAAGAGATTTGCTCACTTTCTCATTCCCCTCAGGTTTGAGGGAGGAGAAGAGTAGTCATGCCTTGTGTTCATTACGTTGGGAGTGAGGGAGCGGTGAAGGGGGATGGGGGGGAGGGCTGCCCAGCTCCTCCTTCGATTTTCAAAATAACCATATGCAGCGTTAGACTTTGTCACAAGTAGAAGTTGGAGGCATGAACTCTTGACGACGAGGGCGGTGACAGGAGGAAGCCAGGAGGGAGACCAGAGACGCGCAGGTGCCCCAGTTCCGTCTGGGGCCGTGGCGAGGTTAGGCCGCTTCTCTATCCAGGAGGGGCCCCATAGGTGCCCTCATTAAGCAGGCCCCTGTTGCATCGGCTGAGGAGAGGTGCGACTCCTCACGCTGGAAATCCCCCTCCCTCACCTGGCCCCTGTCCGTCTGTCGCGGCTCCTACAGGGAGCTCTCCCAATCTGAATGATAATAAGCATAACACCAACAATAACCCTGTGCAGGGATAACCTCCTGTTAGCCTAATGAAGCACTCCAATAAACTAAATCATCTCTTGGAAAAACAACAACAATAAAAGCAGAACTTTAGCTCACTGACACAATTCCAATCTGCAGCTCATTCTCTCTCTCCCCCCCCCCATCTCGCTCCCTCTGCTTATGTCTAAAGATGCACATCTGGGAAAAAAAGCAACAAATAAAAGTTTGTTGAAAACTTCCCCTGCAGCACGCTGTGACCGAGATTCAAAGGGCAAGCGGTGCTTCATTAACCGCATCTCCATTTACTTTCCATCCCCCCTGAGTCTGCCACAGAGCGGATTAATGTCAATTACCTGTCGTTTTGCAGCATCCAAGCCAACAATATGGGGATGCTGCCATACATTTCCCAGACATGACGTCAAAAAGTGGAAACGGTGTGAGATGCAGTTTAAGTTCGGCTCATTTTTTTTCCTTCTTTTTAATGAATTCAAGTTATTAATTTCCCGAGGTGTAGTTACGTTTTTGCTTAAAGATTTAGTCAATTTTAAAATAGATTATTGATGTTTATGGGCATAGGCCCAACCTATTCAAACAGAGGGCTCATTAAGCGCACGCACTTCACGTGTTTAATTGATTCCTAAATCCCACTTAGCAGGCGGTTTGGATTACAAGTTTTAAATGTTAAATAAATAAAAAAGAAAAGAAAAGAAAAAAAAGGAAAAAAAGAAAAGAAGCCCGAGATATTGCCGGATTCATTCAGACAGCCGCGCCGGAACGTGGTTCCTCTGTTAAGAGCCACATTAAAAGGACTGACCGTATATAGTGCAGGACAAAGAAAACACTATCCAGCTCGAGGACCAATGAGGGCTTCCTTTCACTTTTCAATCACTCGTGGTCCTTGCTCGGGATTAAGAGAGGGCTCTTGACTCCGTCTTTGACACAAAACCAGGAGTGCTTGTCTGCAAGTTGAAGAGGGGCTGGGGCGGAATGAAAAGGGGGAAGAGAATAAAACGTGAGTCCAGGGTTATCGTGTTTAATTGGATTAGATAGTGTCATGTCGAAGCGCGGAGAGATTCACCGGGATAAGCACACTATTACCCAAAGTGGATATTTGAATAAACAAAATTAATTTAAGGAATATGCCTTTTAATAAATAAATAAATTGCTCAATGCGCTCTTTTTCTTATGAGAAAGAAAAAAAAAAACACCCGCAAGTTTCTAGTCACTCCGGAGCTGCGCGCTGCGCCCGACTGAGCGTCAAGCAGCGACGGCGATAACAAGGTGCGCGCAGCTGTGCGTGCAGGTGCGCGGCCTCCACCTGCTCAGCGGCGATGAGGGAGGGGGAAGGCCGGTGCGAATCAAAAGCATCGGGGACTTGATTATGCGGAGAGATCAATGTGTTAGTCCGCTTATTAAATAAATAAATAAATAAATAAATAAATAAATAAATAAATAAATAAATAAATAAAAAAGCGCCGATAAAACAAACTTTGAACTAAACTAAATAATGTTTAATGTCCTTGAGCAGAGAAATTAAGTTTAAAAGTTCAACGGCCCGTGGCACCACCAAGATGAGTGGGGCGTTGACAATGACTATGCATTTTTACAGAGGGAAAGAAGCGTGTCAAATGACTGATTAAACTGTTTTGAAATGAACCAAAGTGTCAAAAGAGGATCTCATTACTGTATTCCGAAATATTTTTTTTGTTTTTTTTTTTGTTTTTTTTTTAAACATAATTAACATATCGAACGAACTGATTTTTAGTGCAAGTACCCGGAGTGATGGGAACTCTAAGGATTGGGGTTCCTAAATTTTAAAGTCCCCTTAGAGTCAAACTTAATGCAACTCTTGGGATTGCATTAAGGCTGGTCATGTATTGTCTGAAGGATCCCTAAACGAAACAGCTCCAACTAATTGTTTAAAATGTATTCTTACACGGCAGATGGTGAATATCTAGTGATATTAGATCAAGATGATCTGAGGTCGCCTGAACGAAGACTTTCACTTGAAATCTCATCGAAATGCTTAAGTATACTAGAGCAGCTAGCGTTGTGAGAACTTAACCTACATTGAAAAAGCTAAAATGCAAGACTCGTATATTAATTTATTGAATGGCTGATATTCCATATCTTCACAAATTCATTTTTATAGTGTGAAGGAGGCAAACTTATCTTGATCCGAGCACAATGAGAGAAATCCCTGCGTCAGAAACGGTAGAGATCTAAATCTTTACGTGATTCTTCTACAAACTGTCAAGTTGCGTGATGGACGAAAAGTTTTTCCACGGAGGAGAGGAGGACCCTACAGGACCTCGTAGGAAAAAAAAAGAAAAAAAAAAGATTAACTATATGTGTTACAACCATTTTCTTCCAATCAAATTTGTAGTTGGAGGCAGGTGTTAGACTGTGATCTCACCTCCTTGTCATGTGACCACACACCTCAGCTGACGTCTGCCGTTTATTGGTTGCTCCTGCTTCCCCCCCCCTCCCCCACTTCTGTCTCAACTTTGTCCCATGCATGTGCGTTCAGGAACAGCGGATATTATGCCACTTTTATTAGTTTCATTCCATGACTTAAGCTAAGAGGTGGGTGTTACATCGGGTAGAGTAGTATTTTTTTTTTTTGGCCAGGCTGCAGGGAACTAATTAAAAAAAAAAAAAAGTAATACGAGATATTCTGACAATAAAGACGACTAAAATAATACATACGAGAGTCAAACGCGACTTAAAGAAGAAAGATTAAAAAAAAATACCAAAATGTTGTGGAGACCGTTTCATTACACCACCCTCCTCATCCTCCTCCTCCTCCTCTTCCTCACCCCTGGCAACAGCAGACAAAGCGGGCGGGTTTTAGTGGTCTCCGCCGGGCCGGTCAGCCTTTGATCTGGGCCCGTTAAGAAGAAGTGAATCGTGGAGAGGGGGCTCCACCCAGGAAAGGAGCAGTGGAGGAAGGTAATGTCTCCAAGAAATATTGTGGTTTTTCTTTTTGTTTGTTTTGTTCTCAATAATTACATAAAAAGAGAAAATCATATTCGTTTTAGTTAAAGGGCAGATAATCTGAAAATTAAGGTGATTCAATCCTAAAATTGCTGATAATAAATCCACACTATAAAAAAGGAATACGGGGGTATTCAATTTTAGCCACTAAAGTATATTTCTTTCCTAAAAACAAATTATGTTAATGTAGAAATAGTGTTTAGTGGTGGCTAGATCCTAAAAGCACTGTTTGTTTTTTTGGGGTAACAAATCCTGAACTTTCTAAACTGAAGATTTTGGTTCTGTTAACATTTAGCATCGTTTGATATGCTAAAGGTCAAACGGGACCACAGCAAAGGTTCTATGTTTATATGGGCTGAATTGTGAATGGATGAACTTGGTAAAAAGTTCAGAACTACCATCACACTTTAATTTCTTTGTTGGAGTTTAAATCCAAGTCTAGCTTGCTTAGCAACAATGCTAATGCTAAACTCAAACGTGTTAGCAAGCTGTACTTCTCGACCCCAATAGCTGTTGCCAATCCCTATCTTAGCTTCTGTCAGGAAAAAGATTTCTGCAACTTTGCTTGAGTAGACTTAAAAAGTTTATCGCTATTTTAGTAGCCTATAATGCTTAACTAGCTTAGCAAAAACAACAAAAACAAAAACACAATTTTGCTGGCTAGCTGAACTTTCTATACTCTGTGGCAGTTTACATCACACTAGCTAATTTTTTTTTTTTTTTTTTTTTTTGCTTCTTTTCAACACTGATGAAACTTCAAAAGGTACATATTGTAATTTAGCTGTTTTACACTAATAACCTAAAGTAATTTGCACTCAGAAGACCAGATTCAAATGTGTTGCCCTTTAACATGTAGGAACATCATTTTCTTTTTCAGTTAAACTCTAAAAGTTTGTTTTAACAGCGCACAGGTTGAAAACTCAAGAACAGAGATGGCCTATAAAGGGCCACAGAGTTGGTGGGTAAACGCTGAAAAGGCCAAAGTGGATCATGCTTTATATATATATATATATATATATATATATGCAGCCTCTTGTGCAAATGGAAAAACAAATCAAAACAAACAAATCAAAACAAAATCAAGCGAAAAGTTATTTATTTTTGTCAAACATATGGTAAATGTAAGTTATAGTAATTACATTTTTTTTTCTGTCTTTGCTAAAAAAAAAAAGGAACATTTAAAACCCCTTTTAAATTGAGTTAGTGATGGTATAATGTGCCAGCTGACGCAGAAGAGACAGCAGGCCTTGGTAGATTTCACGTCCAGCCAAGCTCACTGCTACGGTCATCAAAGCGGCTTCACAAATGGCTTATAATCAGAATGAAATATATAAAGTCGGTTGTCAGGGTTCATGTTGTCACGTATGTGTTTAAAAAAAAAAAGAGCTCGCTGTGATATTGTTTAAAAGGCCCGAGGCTTTTTTTTTTTAACTTCAAAATGCATCGTTTCATGTCATATTATGAACTATTTACTGGTTAAACTTGAAGAACGCAAAGCAGAAATTCACTTCTTTTTTTTTTTATTTAAAGCGTTTTAACTTTCAGCTGATGGGCGTAAAGGAGCGTTCAGCTGTCCGCCTGAGGGGCCGCGCATGAACGACCCTTCTGTCAGTTTCTCTGAGGCCTGAGCTTACACCGCTTCAACAGCAACAGCAGCTCCACAGCTAATGCAAACAGCATTATTGGACGTTAATTAGCACAAGTGAGACGTGTTCCTCCCTCTCTCAGCTCCCGTTATATAAAAAAAATAAACAAATAAATAAGTCCTCTCCTCTCAAACTGCGCCACACGCGCACATAACTGCGGCGTTTCTTATTGCTTCGGAATAAAATCTGCCGGTGCAATTAGTCTGTCACACATCGCCATTAGAAGTCTATTAAAACATCAAGTCATTATTTGAGCATCCCCGGGCAGGAGGGAGGCGGGGGGAATTAGAAGAAAACTATCTGTGCCGCACGGGTCCCATTTGGATTAATGGGGAAATATGTAAAACATTTCGTTTTAATTTTCCTCTCACGGTGTTTTGCATACGAGCCTTTTCTCTCTCTCCTTCCCTCCGCTGAAGCGCTCATTATTTATGAAAGCAATCTCGACCGGCACATTACCGGGCTATGAAACGCAGCTCGCTGCCTAATTGATTCCCCGTCACATTTTTTTTTTTCCTGTGAGCTTCTAATCGTGTTAATTGTAATTTAATCTCTCAGGGAATACCGGAGACATGTATTTAAATAAGACTGCCGAGCGAAGACGTGAATTTGTATTACTGTTAATATTATTATCATCATCGCGTTATTATATAATAGAAATGTCACGCAGAATTACGCAGCAGAGTCAGACTAGGATAAATTCCTGTAATCTACAGAGATGTTGGGGTGAAAAACAGGGGAAGAGGTTTCTACTGCATTTCTTAAAAAAAAAAAAAACATATAAACCTGTCCAAATCATTTGCTCCTTTATCCTCATGAGGAGCTTGCTTTGTCCCTGAATGATGCCGTGTTGCAGTCCCCCCACCCTCTTCTGCTCTGAGGTCTTCCTTCCTGTCAGTGGGTGGGGGGCACCTGTTGGAGCAGAGCAGCTTGCAGAGTCAAGTTGTCCCGTCAAACTGGGCTCCTGCAAAACTAAAGTCACTCTGTTACGCTCTGGTGGGCTTGCAGCGTGGAGCATTCACAGCCATGTGAGGCTAAATGGCTTTCTGAGGGCCTTTCATGCACCTCCACAGCACTCTGAATAGGGGCTGTGAGAAAGCTGCTTTACTGTAGAAAATAATGTTTTAATTGCCTTAGAAATTCACCTGAATGCGGCAACATAAAGCCAAAGTTGCTCTCGCTAAGTAGGACATTTTTAATTCGACACTTATTGCACCTCAGGTGGTTCTACAGATTCAGTACGGTAAACAGGATTTGAATAGGAAAAGACAGTGATGGCAGCTAAAACAAACAAACAAACAAACAAACAAACAAAAACGGTTGTTGGGTGTACCCAGATTTTTTTTCTGTCCTGGATTCTGTTTCAGAGCTGTAACATAAACTGGATCAGAGCATTGTAAGTGGAGACAGCTGTCTGAACGGTTGCACTTCAAATTATTGCAGTTATTTTTTTGGAGAATTTTCTAAATATAACCAACATACAATACACAAAAAGAATTAAAGTCAACAACTTTCCTAAAAAAAAAAAACCCCAAAAGACATATTTAACTATTTAATATCAAAATAATGAATCGATATGTCTTGTTATTTACGGTAAACATCTTGGGCTAGCAGAAATGTGTGTTAAGGTCGACTGGACATTCTGGGTTCATCACAACATCATCAGTGAAATCTTAAGCCGGAGCAACAAAAAGAAGAAAAAAAATTAACAAATAAATATAAGTAGTCATTTCTGAAAAATAAAATGACTGAATAATAGAAATATAGACAAAATTAACATATAACTTTAAATGGTAACAAACTAACCGTTTAAAAATTCAGTACTTTTTCTGACTCTTTATGAACTTGGTTCACATGTTTGTGTTTCATACATCTCACCTATTCTTTTTTTTTTATTACTTGATCCCAGCGATCAAGTTAACGTATTAATTGTATAACTTGCTTGACCTAAAACTACAAGCATATTTGGATTGAACATTTTTAACTGGAGCGATTTTTCTTTTTTTTTTTTATGCACATGTACGAAAGTTTCACAAGCAAGAGGAAAACATTTCAAAGTTGAGCAAAGATTAGAGAAAAAATATGGCAACAATCTGCATTCTAAGCAATCAAGGCAAACTTATATGTTAACTGTTTTAGAGTTTACACATTTGATAACATCACAGAAAGTCCAAAAACGGCTTCAAATATGACATTTCAATCAAACAAAACATTTTTCTTTTCATTAGAGTTTGAAAACAAGCTCAATATGTTCATATGGCAGCAAAGAGGGAACCAGTTTCGAGTCACCGATGTGGCCGATTGCCAGTGCGACGGCTTACTGTCGGGGTCTTTGGATGGACGCAGGAGCCGTTTCTGTCTCTTTCTCTCTTTTTTTTTTTTTTTTTTTCTGGACGGGACTGGCATGGACACTGGGTCTGTCCCAGACACAATACATCATACAGTAAAGGGAAAGAAACATGAAAACAAAAAGAGAGCGAGAGAGAGAGAGAGAGAGCGAGAGAGAGAGAGAGAGCGAGCGCGGATGAGGTGGGGTAGAGGTGGTATGGCGCCTTTCATTACCATGGTCACCAATGGCACTATTAACCATTCGACACCCCCTCAATTATCCTCCCATCCGCAGTCAGAGAGACAAAGCCTCGGTCCTGGTCTGCTGGAGCAACATGGCCACTAATCTGTCTCTCCTCGAACATCACACCCACTTCACAGCCTCTGCGAGTCAGACAAGTGTTCCACAAAGACCCCTTTTGTGCTTTCATTTGTGACTTCTTCACTCCGCTCATTAAGGAGTTCATTTTTCATGTTCCGCTGAAGCTATTTTCGACGAACGCCGCTGTAAGTGCACGTCGCCACCAATGCAGAAAATGAGTGAAAATGTTGCTGCGCACAATTTACCTTGTAGTCAAAAATAAAAACCCAAACAAAATCGAGTTTCTTCTTTAGCTTTTATGACGCAAAAACGTGAGGATGTTCGTCTGAAGGCAGGCGGAGGAACCCGAGTGGAGCTACGAGGCCCGAGGAATGGACCCACCACAACAGACTGGTGTTGTTTGTTTACCCTTTGCCCCCCCTCCCCTGCCCTCCCCCTGCCAGGACGTGCTGATGGGAGAGCATTCATCACGACTTTTGAAGCGACGGAGGGTGCGGGCGCGCAGGCTGCACGGTGACATGATGGTGAACACGCACTGCTCACACTACTCACACACACACCACAGCAAATTCAAGTAAGATTCTGATAATAGCTACATATTCTCGTCATAACACAAATATAAATCATGTTTTCCACTGTAATCTTGCACAAGGGGGGTAGTTTGCAAAGTTTTCGAAGTGCTCATTTTGTCTGTGAGATTTCCAGTCTCCTCTGTCCTGCTTCAGACCATGCGGCCCTCCCGATTATTTCTTGGACACCGCCGCAGCGAGGGTCAGGATGTTCTGAGCCTGCTTCAGCGAGGGCAAGTCAATCATGCTGCCGCGGAAGGTGAACGCACCCTGAGGAGAAACACAAACGTTGCACGTTTCATACATATAATCAGTTGCAGCAGGTCAAAATTCTGTCAATGTTTTGGGAGTTAGTATATTGGCATGGTTTTGTTTTGTTTTTTTCTCAGACATGAAACTGGACAGACAAAGAAAGAGTAAGAAATAAATAAAATACACACAGAAACACGCGAAGGGCTCGACTGAGGGAAGGGCTAAGATACGAATCCCTTCGGGCGCTGCCCTGGCAGGGAGACAGAGGTGGCAAGCAGATTGTGTATTACCTCAGCAGACAGCCCACAGAGCTCGGCACACAGGCTCCAACCATGCACTAAATTAGGGACAATAATATTGTACACTTAATTGGCCCAACTCCCCTCCCCTCACTGTCCTGAGAGTCACCCGGGGGTGTACAGTACGCAGCCTGAGCCATGGAGGTGCGCGCACAAAGGATCAGTGTGAGCGTCGGAGCAGAGAAACAGCCGTGTCATCGCAGCGTACGGGCAGCAGAGAGACGCTGACCAGTTACAGATGGGTCCTGTAATAGCTGCTCTTTTATAATACAAACAACCAGGCAGGAGCCAGTGTTAGATATGGCATCACACTCTGAAGTAAAAACACTGCAGTTTCATTACATTGGGCTATTTATGCAAAATAAAAGAAAGAAAGAAAAAAAAGGAATACATGTAGCATTAATCTTTTATACTAGTTTTTATTCATACACAAAGAACAATTATCCCTGCTGTTGTTGTTACAGTAAAAATAATTACATGGAACATTTGGATATTGTTATTTTGAATTAGACGCACAGACCTAAAAAACAGCATGAGCACAAACTAATTTTACTAGTAGTTTCCAACCTTTTAGTTATTTTCTCATTTTAAATTAGCACCTATAATATTGCCTTGTTAATTAGTCAGGCTATCTGCTCAGGGAGAGCATGCAGTTGACTTTTTCACATATACATGGCCTCCCAACTGTAGTTTTAATTGTATGTTGCCAAAGTGTTTGGGTTTTTTTTTTATATACAAAATGTTCTCTCTAAAAATGCAAATATGCATTTCTTGACAGGAGTGACGGCAGAGATGCCATTCATTTCAAAACACGTCTGGTTTTATCGAGACCAGAAATGTTTGAAAATAATGAAGTTCAGCTTTTTTATGAGAGAGGGGAGGGTATAGATGATGAGCAGTGCGTAGAAATAAGTAGGGGAGGGGGGGAGCTCTGCATTACTTTATGTTTCATACAGTCAAATAAAACAGTTCTGATCATGTCAGGGCTTCATGACTTTAATCTGTGGGAACTGTGCAATGTAAAATGGTAAGAGTTTTGATCATCAACTTTTTGAATCTCCATCAGTAACAACCCCCATGCCTAAACACAATAAATAATATTAAAATCATTTCAGTGAAATGATTCATGATTCTACACCTATTATTACCTTTCCTTCTTTCTGATGCTGGTCAAAAGCAGCAATGAGCTCCTCGGCCCACTGGACCCTGTCTTGACTCGGGGAGAACTCCTCCTGCACAGCCTGGATCTGCCCGGGGTGAATGACCTGCTTACCTGCAAAGAGACACACACACACACACTGGAACATTTAGCTCTCTTAGTCGAAGCTGCATGTTTTTTTTTTTCCCAGCATAATGCCGGTAATTTTTGCCCTTTCAGCATTTCATTTTGTTACGTTTTTCTTTCTTTCTTTTTTTTTTTTCCAAAAAAAAAAAAAAGGGAGCAATCTTCCTGGGGACGTTTCATACCCACCATGCATCAATTGGTACCTGCTTTAACAACTGTCATTCTCTCTCTTCTGCTCATTCATGCAGTTTTATGACTTTGATCAACATCATTTAATAGCAGGTGATCCCTCAGGTATTTTGTTTCGATTAAAGGTAGAGCTGGATTGTGTGCCAAACACAGGTCACAATATCAATTTGTGCAACACTGCAGCAGCAAAGGATTGCTTATTTGGAAAAAAAAAAAGTAGGATGTGTTAATAAGTATGCGTGTAAATAATGCATTTGGAAATATTTTTAGTGCCCTCCTTTGCTGATACTCGACGTCTATTTTTAGCGGCTGAGATTCTAAAGCTTTAAAGTGGTGGGTACATTGTGATGAAGACGAAGCATTTTAGTGCACCGGTAATCAGAGGTCATGTTTCAAGACTCAAGTGGGCCACATGTGATGGAAATATCACAGGGTGTATTAACACAATGGATGACATGATTATTCATCTGCTTTTTGTGTCAAAAGAACTTATCTACCAATGCAAACGAAGCAAAATAAAATAGCTGAGTTCAAAACGGTTTGTCTACTGGCACAAATTCAAAGCAGAACTGGACAAAATGGAAATGAGAGAGAGAAATATCCTGGTGTGAATTGACCCAGAGTATTTCAAAATCAATGATCTGAAATATATACCCGTTTTCCTACAAAAAAAAATATAGCAATATTTTTGTTTTGGCCCAAATTATTACTTTTTACTTTATAGCAAACACAACAATGTGCAGCTATAGATCAAAAAAGAGAAAGTAGGTTGGGGAAATCAGTTTAGAGCTTCTATGCAAGAGATGCATTATGAACAGGAAGATAAAAAGGTAATAAGAGAGGAGGAGATGGAAATACACAACTGACTTGTCTCTGACAGCATGTCCAAACAGACTGGGGTGAAACAGATGGGAATGAAAACACAACTACAGCAAAAGAAAAGTCTGCCTCTAAAAAGCTGAAACTGAAGACTAACAAGGAGTTATATCTCTATTGGTCACAATCTCACACACAGACACAGCCATCTTCTCCGTTAAATGTGGGCGAAGGCTGCGGATATAATCCCGTGTACACTTGCAGATCAAACTTGTAGTGATAAAGTTGAGGGTTATGAACATGTCTGGCGAGAGCGGCGGCTCAGCGGCAGCCAGCGGGAACCCGACACTTTAGGGCTTAGCTCTGTCGCCAGCAACAAATCCTTCAAGGTGGCAGTGCAGGCGGGCTGCACGAGCGAGTAGGGTTAAAAAAAAAAAGGAAAAAGAAAAGAAAATCACAGAGGAGAGGGAAGGGGGAGATGGGGGGTAGGAGAGAACCCAGTTGCTTCATCAAGCTCTGCCCACCCTACGTTAGCCCATGAAGAAAAGATCTGGCAAAGATCACATTAACTCTGAGGTGCTTGGTTTGCATTTTCACGTCATACTAAACATAGTACAAAAGCTGGTGTGACCATAAATGTAAGAAAGCATTTTAATTGAGAAAGCATGCTATATTACAATAGAATAATTGCAATGCTTTTGTTTTCATATTTTTAAGCTATTTTTTCAGAAAACAGACAAAAACAAGAACTTGGCTGGGGGTAGCCAACCTATAAGATGGACAGATTTATGTCTCAGACCTAAAAAGCTTGAAGTATTATTTCCATATGACCATATTTTGTAGAAAATATGGTCATATTTTACCACAAAAAAGTGCATCTTTCTGTCAGCCCATCTGTGTGTGCGCGTGTGTGTGTGTGTGTATTTGTGTGTGCAGCTGTTTAGGACAACAAGAGAACGATGGTTCCAACAGGGCGGGCTGGGTGACTCAGGTGCCCTTAGTTACAATCCATTGGTTCTCCTAAAATGCATCATTCACGCCCTGCAGCCAATCCCGGGCTGCCGTGTGGGGTTGGCACCTTATTGGAGGACGGCTATTTAGCAAAGTGCTCTCAGGCGAGTGATGGACAGGGTCCTGGGGACTGAAGTGAAATGTGGTCCCTGAGAGCAGAGGAAATGTTTTTCTATCTCTAAAAAAAAAAAAAACTGCAAACCAACAGCTCAGACTATATAAAATAAGAAGTTAATAAAATATTTAACTACACTATTATGAAAGATGATATTGCATTATCTTCTGATGTGCACATCAGTTCAAAACAATTCTGTCCTAAGCTCCCCAGTACGGAGCACTGGTGCTCTGTACTCTGCGCTTAATGGGTGCTGCTCCCAGCTTAGGTTGTGCCAAGGTCAATTACTGCACAGGTAGAGCTTCTGGCAGCGCCGTATTATTGCTTAAGCACACATGGGCCAGTAATAGCTACTAACCAAGATTATACCGAGTGCCCACGGCTCGCACGGCACTAATCCACTGCTTTAAATGCTTCTGCTCCCTTTCAAACCGAACCATTTATTTCATCAACCAGCTGTTTCCCCCTCCCCAGCTTTGCAGACCTCATGCGCCGAGAGATAAACTGCAAATCTGTCAGGCCCAAACAAATACAAACAATTAACAAAAAGGGCTTTTTGTTAAGCTTTGTCTATTCTCTGCCTAAGCTTGAGGAATCGTGTGCCGAGTGTAGCTCTTAAGATGCAGAAATAGGATAGACAACAAAACACACGCACACACATCCGTGCAACACACGGTAGGGCGGAAGTGGCAAACAAGGTCACCTGGGTGAGTTTCAGAGGGAAGCAGCAAGAAGTGCAACCTACACACTGACATAACATGATGTGCAGGTATTTTGTGTGCTTCGATACGTGCCCCGTGAAGAGCAGGTCATTGATTCAATGTCTCTTCTTTGCCATTTTTTTTCCCCTTTCATGGCAACTAATGCCTTGAGGAACTCTCACTGCTGTAGAAACCATGAGATTCAGCTACTTAGGTCCCCACTTCCAAATGGAGATATATTTAATTTTGACTTCTTGATGGATAAAATAACTAAATGAGATTAAAATAACAAAGTTAGAAAACGTGGCGAGAATTGCTATGAAACACATTCATGAAAAAAAGAAAAAAAAAACCTTCAAACCTTTTCTTAAATAACTTGTTAGAAACAGCAAAGCCTATTGATCTGCCAATACCAGTCAGAATTTTGTATATGATCCAACTATGTAGGTACATATTTGACATTTTAACTAGCGATGGTGGGGCAGTGCTTTCCACTGAATGGACACAAAACTGGGATAAAGGAAATTTGTTAAGCGTGCAACTGAAAATGTCGACATTTTATGAGAGCTATTGCTGCCCCCCAAGGATATACCGCTCTGGACAGAGAGCCACGGGATCAAAAACCGGCACTGACTAGAACACAGACTCCTTGGGATGCAGTTGTCTAAATTATTAATATTTACCGAGAGTGGAAGCAGACTCTAAATTGATCAGTTGTGAAGCACAGATAGATATCATTTCATGCCAATGCCGTCGTTACAAAAGAACAAATCTAAATAGTGGGACATCTTGAGTGCTTTTAGCAGATGAGACCTTTGTAATGTTCTCCCACAGGGAGGATGCAGAAACGATACGGCACACAATTAATACAACAAAAACCGATAACGGGAAGCGAGCGCAGTTATCAAAGGAGCACCTGGAGGATATTAGTCATGATTACAGTCAGAGAAAGAGGCAGAGATGTTACCGGTGAAACCCATGAGAGCTCCCTCCTGGGCCTGTAGCCTCAGTCCCTCCACATCTTTATAGTCGATGTAAACCAGGTCGATGGCCTGCAGCCCAAAAGCCTTGGTGGTCACCACCACCTTCTGCCTCGCGTAGAGCAGCTCTCTGGCATCCTTAGTCCGCGTGGCACCTGAGGAGGGCCGGGAGGCAAAGGCAAGAATGCTGAGGCAGAGGAGTGAGAGGTAATAAATAACACATACAGTGGCTCTACACTTAGAAGGAGGCTCTTCAAATCACCCAACAGGAGGGATAAACATTGAAATATACAGATTTTCATACAAATCCTTTACTTATCTTTCAAAATGTTCACATTTTGTTTGATTACAACAAACATTCAGTTCTTTTTTGTAAGGGAATTATGTGATGGATCGAAACAAAGCGTTCGTTTTAAAGTGAAAGGAAAACGATGCATGCCTTTTCACCACTATAAATCTGAAAAGTGCGGCGTGCAATTGTATTCAGCCGCCACGAGTCAACATGTACAAGAACCGCATTTTCACAGAAGAAAACAGCAAGTGCTTAGAAGTACATCTCAACAGGGGTTAGTTGTTTAGAGGCGGATCGTTTTCGCCCTTTTCTCCTTTGCAAAATAGCGTAAGCGTAGCACTCTGAGTTCATTTTCAAGTCCCGCCAAATATTCCCCAGTTTAATTCAGGTCTAGACTTTGACTGGACCATTTTAACAAGCCATTGTTTTCATCTGGAGGCGAGCCTTCAGCTTCAGTCTCAAGTTCTCCGCAGCTGCTAACAGGTTTGTTTCTGTATTGAACTCCATCTTCCGTTTATACTCTGACCAACTTTCCTGCTTCTTTTGAAGAAAAGCATCTCACAGCATGATGCTGCCACTACCACGTATCTATCAGCTTTGTGTGTGTTTAGTGATGTTACGTCTTGGTTTTCCGTTTTATAAATGAAAAGGCCTGTTTAGTTCACGGCTAATAGTTTTCCTGTAACCAGGGAACAAGGCCATCGTGGCTGCTCCTCTGATTAATGATCTCCTTACCCTGCCTGTCAGCTTAGGTGAAAGGTGATGTCTTAGTCTGTTTGTTTAATAATCTAACCCTGTCTGAAACTTCTCCGCAGTATTGTCCCAGCGGCATCTGGCGCACTCCTCGGTCATCATGATGCTGATTATCCACTAATGCTACGTGACAAACTGCTGAGGCCTTCGCAGAACAGCTGGATTTACACAGAGACTAAACTGAACACACGTGGGCTTTGTGAACTAGCGAAGCGATTCCTGAAGACAAATGACTGCACCAGATATTATTTAGCTGTATGCATATGCACACCACACTTGCCACTACTCCGCATCGCCCAGTCGGTTTCAAATCCAAACAAAAAATATGTTGTTTGTTGTTTTAAAGTCAAAAATGTGGAAAGGTTTAAGTGACTTGAATATTCTTGCAAAGCACTGCACAAAAAGTAATAGTGTGAATATCTAATCAGCTGTTATTTAAGAGTGTGGAAATGTAAGCGCAGAGTGTGACCGACACCTATGCTGGCACAGAAGTCATCGGAGCCAAACACCACGCCGTCATGGTGGAGCCCGGCCCTGGGAGAGAGTTGGCGGATTTCCTCACACACGGCCTGACAGAGAACAAAATACAATCAGCATAACAGCAGCAGGAGCAGAGACATATTTTCGACGTCAAAAAACACAGAAACAACCACGAGCAAACAAAACAAAAATAATAAAATAATAATAATCTGTGAATTCATCGCATGGATTAGTTCTGTTTTATCAGGAAGAGATAGTCTTGAACTCTACAGTATTTTTGCAAAACTGCATCCCACCCCCACCCCCTTCCTCTGTTATCTCATGTTTCTTTTAAATTATATTTTGACTTGAAAGACAAAACTGCATTTGTGCACACATCTAACAGCACCAGTAGGGAAATATTAACCGTTTCATCCAGGAAATTGCTCGTTAATTTATTGTTTTTGGCCAGAAATCAGCTCGGGGTTTGCTAAAAGATTGGAACAAAACATAATTAAAAGCCACACAGGTGTTATAGATAAAAGCGCATTAGACTAGCAGCCGCAGTCACGACTGAAAGAACAAAAACCTGGACTGTCTGTAGTAAAGAGTGACATTTAGTCGGATGTTTTTCAGGCTTTTTTTTTTTTTTCTTTTTTTTCCCAGCTACAAATTAATACCGCCTCTAGCTGTGCTACAGCAAGTTTGTTACCTGGTGTTCAGTCTGGGCGAAAATAAAGGGTTTGCTCAAGAAAGCAGAAACAGGCAAACCCTCGTATCCCCCCCTCCCCTCCTAACCGCCAACAAAACACACATGCACAGGCACAAGCACAGGCACAAGCACAGGCACACACACACACACACGATCACAAACGCAGTCGGAGAATTATACTGAAGAATTGACAGATGAACCAAAAGAAGGACTGCCAGCTGGTTGCTCCCCAAATCTGCTCTCTTTACCCCTCCAAGAAGCTGAAGGTCATGCTGCACTGTTAGGGAAATCTGACTGACTCCAACTGAAATGTCCTGAAGAATTTTCTCACTATGAGGATATTAAATTAGCACTAATTAAACAATGTCAGGACGACTGAGGACGGAGGGCATTTTGAGAGGCGGTGGAGGAGCTTCAGATCCTGCTTCTTTCCGGATGTTGTCGAGTTCTCCTCACGCTGATGGGAGTCTTTAATCTAAAGCCAAAGAAAAAAAAAAAAAAAAAAAAAAAAAAAAAAAAATCTCTAACGTTTGCAGTTTTCCCTTTTATTCACTCGTACTCTACCTTAAAATTGAGCAGGCCCACAGCGGTTTCCACGAAGGTGACGAGGCGAACGGGTTCTGTCAGCGTCCGTCCTTTCAAGTTGTGCTGAAACCTGTCAACAAACTGAACACACGGGCAACGTCTCAGGCTCCGCTCATTAACAGCACCCACGGTTCTGTGTGACTGGGAGACAATAAAGCACTCAGCAATCGCAATAAATTAATTTACTTGCAGCGCTTTCAGCCAATCATGTTTACACAGTCCACAGAAGTGGGAAAATAGGTTTTTAGTGACACAAATACCTTCAACTCTGAGGGGGAAGAAAAACAAATATTTTCTCATTCCATTTTTTATGTAACCCGACACTCTTTTTAACATTTGGTTGAATTTGTCAGTGTACTTTTATCACTTCATTAGTATTTACAAATTATATTAACATCATAACACATTATAATGACAATAACCTTTATTTCACCAGACAAAAACCATTTTCATGATGGACCTGGTGACGTAGCAGCACCTTTTACAAGTATCAACATTTACATTCAATCAGAGAAATAGATTTGTTTAGTTTTAAAAGCACCAGGCACTAGAGTTTATCCAGGGGTAGCAGAATAAAGGGGGATGGACAGAAATGATACAAACAGCAAACAGGAGCCAAGAAATGGCACAAAGAGGTGCAATGGAAATGGGCCGAATGCAAATTCAACAAACAAGATCCAGCTACAAAACTGCGCACTGGATTTTAGTTAAGGGTAGCCAAGGAAAAGGGGCTGAATACAAATTTTGTAAACAACAAAAGCTAGACAAGAAACACTGCAATGGGTTTTAGTTGGGGGTGGATCAGGCAAGTGGGGAGGGGGCTCAATATGAATTGTACAAACAGCAAAAGCTAGCTAGGAAATTATGGAGTGGATTTTATTCATAGGTGGCAGAGGAAAAGGGGTTTGAATGCATAAAACATCATGACAACAACGTAATCATTTTCTTTCAATTGCACACCTTTGCAATGTTGAAAACTCTGTCACTTTAAATTTGGATGCGTTTTTCTGCGGTAACAACCGCAAAGGATTACAACAGTTTTCAAAAACGGCGGAGCGGGGTGGGGGGGGGGGGGGAATGTCTTCATACATTAAAATTCCTCGTTTGACGGAAATCCCGACACCTTTATTACCTGCGCCTTGGCAGTTTCAGTCCTTATTCAGAAACACATCTGTGGAGGCTCACGTGGCGCAGGGAGCAAGCACAGGAGAGCAGCAACAAAAGCGAAGAAATAAAATATTTTACATTAACACCAGGGTTCCCCCCTTCGTCTGAAGTGTTCTGCTCTACCTTCTTTCAGAGGTTCTCCTCCACTACAGCTTGTGCTCCCCTGAGAGAGCATGCAGACATGTAAATGCACCCACGCACACACGCACACACACACACACACACACAGAGAAGAAACAAAAGTGCAGGAAAAGGAAGAAGAAACAAGACTTGGGACGTCTTTGAGCGTGTTTTTACCACCGCATTATTCTGTTTTCCGCGTGCCTCCTCCGTGGCGGGGAACAGGGGAGAGCGCAGCAACAATCAGAGAGCGATGTGACACTTTGCCGAGGCCTTTATGCTGCACGACTGCTGCTAATATGCAAGCTCACCTAAAGTAGGGTTTTAAAACCCGAGTTTAATTCTTTGAAGACCAAAGCGTTCCGATTTTTTCCAACAGACCAGTTCACAGCTAGCCCTGGACTGCCAGTGGGGTTGCCCAAATTCCTAAATCTATCATCTGGAAACACACAAAAGCCCCCTCCGTCAGATATTTCCTTTCAAAGCCAGACAAAAAGGGGAAAAAAAAAAAAGACAGAAAGAAGAGAGAGAGCAAAAGCTCAGAGAAGAAATGTCTACCTCCGAGTTCCCCCTTCCTCTCCGTCTGCTCCTTCTTTAAGACATCAGAAATAAAAATAAATAAACGTATAAACATTACAAATAACCCCAGGTACATCATGACTATTTGTTCGAATGAGGAGCACAATAGCCCTCACACTCACAACTCTTGTTCTGAAAAGTGAAAGAGTGGACCTCCATTGAAGAGGTTCGGAAAAGAAAAAAAAAATAGAGGCAATTTTAATCATCTCTCCATTCAATCTCGGTTGGATAAATCATATCGGGGAGATTTGCATAAATACAAACCATCAAAGACTTTTCATCTTCAAAGAGGTTTTCAAGACCCAATAGGCTTTGTACTGTAATCATCTGAGGTCACAACCCTGTGGGAGCAAGGCTGCTATGGCAACATAAAAACTAACGCTGGGGGTTTTAGCATAATATGCCCCCCTCCCTCGCCAACACAGGAAGGGTTTTTTTTTGGGGGGGAGGTTGGGGTGGGAGTGGGGCTTGAGGGGATGGGGCGGGGGTCTGAGACGGAGTGTGAAAAGAGGGTGTAGATAAACCCATTTCTGTGACAGAGGAGACCCAGACTGATGTGGCCTCGTTGTCGGGGAATCCAACAGACGTCGCCGCTGGCCGGGCGAGCGGTTTGGATCCTACCGAGGGAGCCAGGTGATGGCTCCACGGGACAAAAAGAAGAAGAAGAAAAAAAACAGAACACTTCCATGATTACATGTTTCTGTCCTTCCTCAAAACTCTCCTCTTCAGCTATTATACACCTTAAGGGTCCGATTTACTAGCATAAGAGGCGCTATAGTGGCTGTTGTCACTCTGACACTCACAGCAACCATTAACTGTCGATGGCTATCAAAACTAAGACCCTTTACGGTGCCATTCAGGGCAGAATTGAAAAAAAAAAATAAATAAATAAAAGAATTGTTACAAGGGAAGAAATAACACCTCTCCTTGCCTTTGAGAGCCACGATGCAAACAAGCCCTCTGACAATTTTCGACTCGCAATCATGAAAAGAGAAGGAGGGAGAGACGGGCGCGAGAAAGGAGGCTATAGTGGGACAAGTTTCAATTAATTTTCTTCAAAAGGGGGCCAGATTAAATGTTTCCGGCCTGCTGAAGTGTTCATTTCACAGAGGGGAAGCAGAGAGAAGGGGATGAGGGGAGGGGACGGGAGGAGGAGTAGAAGAGGAGGAGGAGCGGGACAGGGCGCGATTCTTTTGGTCCCCGGTGCACACCAAATAGTGTGGTGGGCAAAGAATGCGCACGGCTCCGAATCTGTGTGAGAATTGTCCTCGAACAAAAGAGTGCGTGTGTGGAGGGGGGTTTACGCCTGTTACAGCCCAATAAGGCCTGTCAGTCACACAAGGGGCTGGAGGAGAGCAGAAAGGCCGGGCAAAAGAGTTCGGCACAAAGAGAAACAAGCAAGTCCATCTTTTAGCGACAAATCAGGCTGAAGGTTCCTGTGCCAATATCAATAAAAAAAAAAAAAAAAAAGGGGTGAAAAATAAACAAGTGACGGATTTACTGCCCTGCCTAACAAGAACGGAGAGAATCAGACACATGCTTACAACGCAAACACACACACACACACACACACACACACACACACACACACACACACACACAGAGGGAAAAGTCTGGGTAAGGGCACAGACGGAAAGAGCTGTGAGGGACCGAGGTGACATCAGATGAGCATGCATGACGGAGTCGAAGCCCAGTGCAGAACTTGTCTTCTGTCTCTGGAGCGTGCGTGCGCCCGCTGGTGCAGAAACGCACAAATAAATCACGACAGAAGCGCGGTAAGCTTAATAGCCAGTGTGTAGGTGGACTTGAATAAACGTACAATCAAGCGCATTAGTGTAACGAAAGTGGGGGGGGGGGGGGGATAGCAGGCAGTTATCTGCGTCATACAGCTTTTAATTAGCAAACAGGTTTTTTTTTTTGTTTTTTTTTAAATCTTCCAATAATAACAATAATAATTTTAAAAGGAAAAAATGCATGAGAAAAGTGTCTTTTTGAAGAGAATAAAAGTAGTGCAGGATGAAAAGCTGGAGCAGTGAATAAGCGAACACCTGTCAGCAATTATGCTGGGAAGAAAGAAAGGGCAGCAGGAAATAGACGTGTTCTAATTAAAACCACTAGTTAAAAACTTCCTGCGCCTGCCACTAGACCATGTATGCGTACATATTAGTGTGTGTATGTGGGTGTGTGCGGGGACGTTCGTGTGTTTGCAAAGGTTTCCGACCAGACCAGACCAGACACATGCCTTTCACAACAGATTTAACCGAAGCCTTTAAAAGGGCTATATTAGCCACTTAAGAAAAAAAAAAGTTGAACAGAACATTTGCCTGTAATAAAATCAAAAGCTCAAGTATTCAGAAGTTTGAAGCATATTTATTATCTTTGAACTATTGCCACGCAAATAATGAAAAAAAGAAAAGAACAAAAAAACTGACATTTGCAGTTTTTATTTTGTGGTAAGTGAAGCATATGGAGCTGATCAAAAAGGTCTACATTAATGATGTCCCTCCCTCCTGACCTTTGAGAGCTTGACATCCGTACAGCAGCCTTTTACGAAAACCCACAGGCACGGTCGATGACAAACGCCTCTTAACTACATGTATTTATGTTATTTCCAAAAAAACATTATTATTAAAAACCCTTTTAAAGGCGTCAGACAAGCTCTTGGATAACTGTATTCTTTTATGCAATTGCACCACAATATTTGATAATTACACCAAAATATTTGGAAAAATTCCAGCCTTCAATTTGTGTTACATTCATTTTGTATGATATATATATATATATATATATATATATCTTGTTTGGATATGATTTATTTTAGCAAAATTATCTGAGCCACAAATAGTAGCACCACCAAATGTTTCTATATAGCAAATGCATCTATGACATGTTTTCCATTTATACTTAATTTTCTTATGGTGACTCCAGTGTCTACATAGTAATCCATGACTTCCTGTTTTCATTGGATAAAAATATGACACGCTGTGTTCTTGTCACTCTTCAAAATGGAAAAGACAAGAGAACATGTCAAATACGGAGTACGAACAGACGTTTTTTTTTTTGTTTTTGTTTTTTTTTTTTTGCATAATTAGCATAAATATATAAATAAAAAGATTTTGGCAATAACAGTGATAAGCTCAAACTGATGATGCTTTCAAACCCAAAACATTTTAGTGTGGATGTGATTGTTACTTTCGCAGTTTGAAACATTTTGTCAGTTTCATGTGAGCATCAGTAAATGCTCTGCTTGTGTTTCAAAAAGAAAACGGAAATGCTGTGGATCTGAACTATTAATGCAGCTGCTGCACATACCTATTTTTGATAATGGATAAGTACAATTTTTAGAACAGTATTTGTTTTTGTGATGCTCTGACGTAAAGTTATAAATTTATAGAAAAAAAAACGACTGTGAGGAGAATAGAAAGGTTAAACAATCTTCAAAGTGACTTTAAGAACTGTTGTGGGGTGAGGGGGTCACAAAGTCTCCATAGCAACCACTCTTTTTAGGGAATCACATCTTTACCAGAGTTGCCAATAACTGGGAATGTGTTCCCTAGATGTAACAATTTACAGCACAGCCATGTTTCATGATAGTCAACGCATGTTTGTGTGTTAAACAGCATATAAAGCACTTGGCTACTCATGGAAGTGGAGTATCACTGGGCCCTTAACAAATTTAACCACACACTCTTGTTTTCATCAGTATAAAGAACTTCAATTACAGTATATTAAACTAAGACAGAAAAAAACTAGAGAAGCATTAATAACCTGGCTTGTAACCAGATCCAGATCATTTCTTTGCCTGATCAGCAGGTCAGAAGAGCCAAAATGCAACATTCTCTGAGAAGTAAATTGTACCTTATAAAGTGCTAAGTAGTTGTGATTAAAACTATTTTTAGTGTAGATGTGGCTCTCGAGTGAAGGAGCCTCAAAGTTAGCTACTTTCGTAACAGTAAGGTATTTATGATGAAGCACAAAAGTTGTTTGAAGAGTTTGTTGAAACATATCTACGGTTCTACCAGGCGGCGAGAGACAACAGGAAGGATAAATGGAGTACAGCAAAGTTCTGTTTAATCCCTATTAGCTCTAAACTTCAGCTCGTCCCGAAACACCCATTTGTAAATGTTGGAAACCTCAGAGTGGAGATCAACATTCTCTACGAAATCCACACGAAGGCTGTAATATTTACAATGTAGCTACGACCCAAAATATACTTCTAACCCAAACACAAAACCAAAGACGCACCAAATACCAATGAAAGTCTTGCTTTAAGTGTTTAAAGTATTTTTAGTTTATCTGATGGTGAAAAAAATAATAAAAATGTACATTATTGTTGAACACTGGAAAAATAAATAGACTTTGGACAGCTGGCTCTGAAGCTCACCCATTTGACTTCGTGAATGTCCTCCACTTTGGGCAGCATGATGGCTGGAGGAAGAACCTCTGCTTGAAGAACCACTTGTAGGTCAGCCTCAGCGAGGCCACTGGAAACCGAATTTACCCTCACACACTTCTCAGTCCGGCCCAAGTCCAGCTCCCCCAACATCTGAGCGATGGTCTCTCTGGCTTCAGCCTACCAAACAGAGACATACAAGACACACACACACACACACACACACACATCAATTATGATTATTTTAGGAACCTTTTGACTCTACTGCAGGTTGAAATTAACGCAAAATGTGTTCAATCATTTTAACTGTGTGAAGTTATCACCTTCACTGTGGACAAAATGAGGTTATTTTAATGATGGCTTGCGTATTTCAGCAGCCACTTAACATTCAAAACAATAATCATTTATATTCATCAAATTATAATTGAAAAACATGACAGGAAAGCAATCAAAGTCACATGTCCTTAATAGATATGTAGCTGTTTAAATTGCGTTGAGCACAAGCACAAAAATAATAATAAATGAGTGATCAAAGAGTTTATACATCAATTTGGCATAAATAATACATGATAAAGCATTTGAGAACACCCACTGTGAAAAAGAAAAAGTTTTTCTTTCCTTTTTACTACGTCTATACAGTCTGAAGAGTGGGCAACATGAGAAAATAAGCAGTCAGTTGATTGGCTGAACATTTCCATTTATCAATCAAAAGAGTTATTATTCTGGAAAGATTGGCTAAAATACATTTTGTACTTTCCTGATAAAAAAAAAAAAACTATGAACGTCAGAGAAACATTTTGTGAAATAATTGCTTATATCTGACTGTGTGAATAAATCTTATGACACTACAGCAAACATAGGTTTTAAATGAATAAAAATGTACTGCAATAAGTATACACTTTGAAATGTTAACGTCTAAATGTAAAATACATGCAGATCAAATGAGTCATGCATCTACAACACAGCAACATCCAACATTCAGTCTGGCTGTACCAAAATGAAGATTTTTGCATCAGTTGTCAAGACAACATGTAAACATATGCAAAATAAGCAACTGTATATTTCTAACTGATCGAAGCTGTTTTCAATATAAACTTCAGATCCTTTAGTCTCATAGTAGCTCTTAACCCTGACAGGAAATAATATTCTCTTGTCCATAAAAACAGATGTGTTTTGAAAAGAGTAGATCTGAAATTATCTCTCAAATGTACAGAAAATAAGATTCTGCTGAGAAGTTCACAAACACTGACCATCAGCATGAATCCCAGAATACCTGCGTCACCGTCCACAATGAGCTGTGGTTTTCCATCTCCAGGTTACAGAGAGAGTGCCGACCGAGAAAGAAGCACCTGCTCCAAATTCAACATTCGAACTTTCAAGCTCCAATTGTATATGCAGCTGCCAATATGGACAAACTAAATCCCATCTGGAGAACAGTTTTATGCTCAGATGAAGCAAATCACTTTAAGGTATGAGCTAAATACCATTTTGAAATATTAATGATTTGTAAAAAGCAGTGAGGAGGGTAGAAGTCAACGAGACACTGCTACACACTGCACAAGGTGGAGAGACTAATACAATATATTTTAACTTAAATTAAAAGGAATTTTGAGGAAAACTGAACACAGTCAAGGGTTGCAATCAGACAGTGACCACAAACATGCATCTTAAATGGTTCTAGAAGGAATGAACCGTGTTACCATAAATATTCTAGAGTTCAACCCAATTGAAGATTTTGAATCTTGCTTAAAAGTGTTAAAATTTAGATTGTGACTGGTTTCTCTGGAGCTTGCAGAGGGAAAATTAGTCAAATATAGGAGTGAATGTGTTAATTTGAGACTGTATGTATAATTATGACCCTGTGTGAATCTTAGAAAACCCACAACATGTTCTAAAATTCTACTTTGAAAGACAAAAAAAAGTGTTTCACCGCAGCTGCTAATAAATTTTGTATTTTAACTTTGGTCCGCCTCATATGTAGCATTAGCTTATAGTGACTCAGGGTTGGAGCCGTGTGGTGATTGGTGATCTTAATAATAAGTTAACGGCTGCATTACTCAATTCTAAGACTTTAGCTACTACTTCCATTCACTCTTAATGTGTTTCAAACAATTATTAAATGGGTCGTTAAAAGTAAACTGTTCTAGTAACACTTTCTCTCTTGCTCTCGATGAAGGCGGACACATTTTCCCTCTGCTCCCTCCCTGCCCTTGTCTGCCCTGCTTGCTCTGTTTTTGTCCTGTCTTCTATATTTTTGGAGCCTTTCCTTGTACATCATCCAGATCTACAAATTATGGATCTGGTCAACCGGTCTCTCAATGCAATGGATCAAATTTTCGACAAGAAGTCTGGGCACAGGAGAGCCCTCTTGTCCTGTGGGGACACACCTGGCGGGATTCACCCTGAATTTATTCATGATAACAGGATTTCTGCTATTTGTAGTTTGTGGATTCCTGGATTATCAACAAATTTGTGACGGACTTGGCCAAACTAGTGAACACTCAAACTGTTTGTGTGGACAGAGACTCTAAATCTCACTAACGACTTGGAATCGATCTAGGGGAAGTTGCTAGTTTCGGCTCAGTGGAACGACCAAACTAATTTGGATGATTGGGAACTGAGATGTATCGGAGAGACTTTAGGGAAGATTGAAATTTATAATCTTCCCGACCTAAGACATTTTGTTTCTGAATTGGCTTTCCCCATGTTGCTTTGGAAGGGCTGCATATCTCTAATCTCCTTGAAGATATGTAAACATAATGCTCCTTCCCACCTCACCCTCTCCTGTTTCCATGGAGTTGTGAAGCTGAGCACTCCCAAGGACATCATTCCTCGATAACAACACCTTTATCAGACTTTGCCAGGAGCCTCAGCCACCTGGCTTCATGGCCCTGTGACGTCACCACCTTCACTTGTGTCTTTGTTTTGCCCTTTGTTTTGTCTGAATGTTGCCATCTGCCCTAATTCCTTTGGTTTGTTATTTTGTTTGTATTTCCTTTTAACTCACGTAAAGCACTTTGAATTGCCTTGTTGTTGAAAATGTGCGATATAAATAAAATTACCTTACTAGAATTTTTGTTCTGAAGGGATTTTGACAGATACATTACTATAGTAAAATTTTACCCGCACAAGTAAAACATCTGCCTAAATGCTGCTGTAAATCCTTATTAGACAGCTAGTTGTCTAAGTCTCTCAAGCTACTGTTTTGAAACCGTTCACCTGACTTCTTCCTCCTCACTGAATGAATATCCATATAAAATTTCACCTCATTAATTCAGCCTGAACTACAGACTTGCCTTTATTAATTTCATCTTGTGCTGGCATTGTGTCATGCAGACTCAAGTTTCACATAACTCTTCAGCAACTTTTAGTTACGTTTTCTACTCACGTGAACTCGGTTGTCTTTTTCCATACAATTTTTGACATTTCTCAATTCTGCACATGAAAAGAAATATGGATATTTTGAGACAAAAGCCTGAATGCAACTGGAAAGAAAAGTTGCAAAACGGTATACACCTTTAAGGGTTTGTCGATTTTAAATGGAGGCAATGATTTAAAAATATATACTTATACATCTCATACTTATGTTTAAATCAAACGCAACATAATAATGTCTGAGGCTACCCAAAGAAACTGATAACTTGTGCATGTGTGGAGCTATTGCTCCACAAATGCAATATTTACTTATCATTGAGTGTGTGATATGACCCTTGACTGTTTACCCTTTTCCTTATTTGCAATACTTTTATCTGCTTTAGTGCCGTTTTTAAATCCCACTCTTGCATTTATCCATTTGCATCAACAAGGGTGGTTTCCCAGTTCTGTAAGAATGTTTTAATAATACCCATAAGCTGAGACTAAAATGCAAATATATATTAGGAAAAAAGACAAAATACCGGATGCAGTCTCATGTTGTTTTTCTGAGAGTCAAAACACCATGAGGGTGCAAAAAAAAAAATGAAAGGAAGCCTACACACCCAATTTCTATCATCAACCAAGTGGCACAAGCAGCTTTACTCAAACCAGATGCTGCAGCTGCAGGAATTAAGAGAAAACATTATGGAGTGGAGAGAAAAAGTCCAGCTATGGGAGAGGAAAGAGCTTCTGTGGGAAAAATGTGGTCTGAGTTAAGCAGTTTGAGGAAACAGTGGCTTGAAAGTTGTCAGCTCACATTAGAGACTATACTCTGATATTTCTGCATTATATACATGTCTGCATAAATACAATACATCACATATATATATATATATATATATATATATATATATATATATATATATATATATATATATATATATATATATATAATATAGAGAGAATATTTTCTTGTGTT